GAAAGTTTTCAACTTTCTGGCAGCACTCATCCCGCTATCGAAGTGGTCAGCAACGCTGGGAAACAAATGGAACGTGCACAAACGTACATACCCTGCAGTTAGCAAATGTTCCAAAGAAATTAACTTACTAGTTCAGAGATTGTATCTAACGGAACAACACATGGACTGGTTGCTTTGAAATGCGATGCAGGACACTGGATACTTAAAAAGTTACGATCTATGCTGGCAGACGAAGTGTAAAAAATTAGAATCTAACGAATGGTGCAAGCATCAACATGCACGGACAAGACAGCGCAACATCGGCATACGGGTCGCTCGGCTACAACAATCTCCAACGAACGATATTTTTGGTATAGTTTATTCCTGAACTATGTATTAATTGGAATGCTTATGGGGCAACTGTCCACCGCCAATGACACCTCCATTATAAAGTAGACAGTTGAAGCCGTTGCTCGGAACTAATGTTGTGAAATAAGGAACCCATCTTGAAATATTTTTGGACTAGAGAAATCTCCTGCAGGGTACATACTTATGTATGTAAATATTTATTCATAAACTACCCTGCAGAAAAAAATATCAATTGATAAAAATAACCCACTTTTAGTTAGCTGTTTTTTGCATAAAAAATTTATAAACTAAATTTGTTTTTGAAAATATGCCATCTCAAAAAAAGTTAAAAAAAAATTACAATGGTAACTCTAAGTATTGCGCAATATTTAAGTATGTATAGTATTATGGGGTGCACCCTAGAATAACTTGAGTTATGTTTTTTTTTTTACTCAACGAGTACATTACAAATTTACACATTTTTTAAATTTTATAGATTTTTTTTGAATATGCAGTACTTTTAGCTCATTAAATTTTAGTATGATATAGTACAAAAGCTACTGCAAAATTGCGTTGATTTTTAATATTTTTTATGCTGACGGCCTTTGGCACTTTTTCCTTATGGAAGAAAATGCGTAGAAATTAACGCCAGTTTTGCAGTAGCTTAAACCTTGTACTTTCTTACACTAAAATTTAATGTGCTACAAAGCTGCATACTCACAAAAATTCTTAAAAAACTTAAAAAAATTGTTAATTTGTAAGGTACTCATTTTCTATGTAAAAAAATTCATAACTCAAATTACACTGGTTTACAACAAAAATGTTCTGTGGATGCCACTATCCAATTCCTATGTAGAATTGCTCGGTGAATCCGAAAATCGAGTTATTTTTTTTCTATGGATACGTTTTCGAGATATTTGCAATTTACCGTTATTCAGCTTAAAGCAAAAATTGGTTCCTTTTAATCACGTATGTATATCTCACGAACCGATTTAAAAATCTTAATATAAAATACGGCAAATGAAAGCAAATGAAATTCTCCATAAACCGTATATAAATCACTTTCCGATAGGGCTTAAAGTTTCTGACAAATTAATTTGTCATTCCAGCTTTTTTTATTTTTTAATCAAAAAATTAAAAACAATCAAACTTTAACAGAAGAAAAATTAAAAAAATAACAGGTTCTGTGCCAAATTTTTGCATTTGTACTAAAGCCTGTTCTGTTCAAAAAAAAAAAAAAATCAAGTTACTCATGAGGAAAATCGGTGGATAAATAAGAAATACGGAGTGGTCAAATGAAAATACGCAAAGATTTTTTGTATGAAAAATGAGCAGGAGGAGGAACTACAACTTCAGGCTAACTTATAGTTACATATACGAAATTCCTGCAGGGTCACAAATGCGTGTTCACTTATTTTCATTTGCATACATATGCATATACATACGCGCGTACACTTACACATGCCGAACACAATAAAGTTGTTCCACACTGCAGCTCATTTTTGAATTTGAGCTTTGAAAAGTTGCTCAATTGCGGTTGCTGCCACATCGCTGGCTAATTGAATGCACCACTCAGGCGTGCGATGCATATATACATACATGTGTATGTAGTGGGCGCGTAAATGGGTGTGTGTGTGTGTGTGTGATGTTTGTTTGCTCATACAAATGAAAAGAACTACAAACAAACAAACAACAATGAAAAATTTTAGCAGTAAACAAGGAAATTGTGTAAAAGTGTACTTAAATAGTTGTTGTTGCCGACTGCGCATTTTGCCCGTATGGGCAGGTCATTTGCATGAATAGTTAGCGTTGCTGTATAATTTTGTTTTTTGTTCATAATAATAATAAAGTAACTTCATATTAGTTTTGTCAATTAAAATATTAATAAAATAGAATTTAATGCTTTGGATAGAAATACTTTTTTACGTACCTAGACGAAAAAGATGGAGCAAATTAGTTAATTATTTGTCAGTTCAACCAATTAAGCAAATTTTACGTAGAACAAAATTATGAAGGATCTTTGTAAGTTGATGGCTAAGAAATATTGATTTTCTAATGTTATATTTCTTAATAATGAAACCTGCTTTTAGTACAGATAAATCCTTCCGTCCGAGTTTTTTCTGAGTGATTGCCGAATTCCGTTGGCAAACTAGAACAACTTTTTATGCCCTCTTTCCATTTCTCTAAGACGGAGAGCCCCTACCATATTCTTGTTGACCACCACCCCCCTTGGCGTGCCACTACTGACCGCTTTGATGATCTATTCTGGAACTTAAAAGACTATTTCTTCAGTTCGTTCTGACAAAATATTTTTTTATTCTCACTTGTTTTCAACATACATATGTATGTAGATTGCTTAAAAAAATCACTGATTATAAAAAAATATTTCACACAAACAGGGTTGAAATTTTGAAATTCCTGCCCGTATTTGGTGTGTAAGTCAAATATGAGTGGCATTGTGCTACTATGATAGCTCGGCCGAGTAATCATAGTCAACTTATGTACAGTAGTCGAAAAAATTATAGCCGCACCAAATTTTTTAAATATTATTTTTGTTGTTATTTAATTTTGGTTAGTTTCTTTACCAACATCCGTATATATACAAGTTTAAAGGCAGTGTCACACGATGTGAAATTCGCCGAAATTTGGTGCAAATCGTATCCCAATTTTCTGAATACCCAAATATTTTTCTTTATCCTAATCACGAAATATAATTTGTTGAAATTTTTCAATACAAGATTGCTACCAAGCTTCTAACTAAAAAAAAAATTGTTTTTACCAATAGCCAAATATAAAAAATGCACATAACTGTACAAATGTACCCGATCGAGTGACACTGCCTTAAAAATTTATGCAATTAAAAAAAAAATTCAACGAATTTTCGTAAAAATTTCGGCTTTTAAATAAAATTCTGAGTATGCAGTTTTGTAGCCCATTGAATTCTAGTAGAATAAAGTACAATTTTCAAATGGCTAAAAATTACGGTTGATTTTTTAGAATTTTTAAAAAACCTCGAAATTCGTACGAAAGTTTGTAGAATTTTTTTAATTTTGCACAAAGTTGGTAACTTGGATTTACACGAGTTTTGTTAAAGAAAAAAATTACAAAATTAAATAACAACAAAAATAATACCTTAAAACTTGGTTCGGCTATAATATTTTGACCACTGTATGTATATTTTTATATATATTTAATTGCACATTGTACATAAAGGTAAGGTCAGAACACCTACACTAAATCTTAAAGTAGAAAGCGAGATACACCCGAAAGATCCCTTATCAAATCTTCGTTTTCGCCTGTCAGACCACTGCACTTTAGCGTAACGAATCTTTTCTTAACCTGCCTTCGGAAAATATCTTCTTTGGTGGCCAAGCAGTTCCCAGGTCTTTGGAAAACTTCGCTTAAAGTGGCAAAAGAATACAGGTAAGGGCGTCAAAAGTTATCCACTGTATCTCTATCTAATATCTCTGTCTAACGTCAACTCCTCTTACCATGAAGGCAAATATTAACTTATATCACACTTCTTAATTCAGTCACAGCAGCCCTGACGAAAGAAACTGAAAGCATGGATCGCTACTTTACTTAAGTATTTTCTTCTTTGACTGGTTGACTGGAATTGGTTCTATTTCAAGTTGAGCGGGTGAGAACAAGACACACCCTTCATTTGGCCTAGGTGTGCCTCCTTATTTGCTGAAGTTTTTAACTAAAAACAATAAACGTAGTTAGTTTACTTTTGCCAAAAGCCATGCGCAGCGGAAACTCCTCATAGGCAATCCATTTTTCCAAGCGATCAACTGACCAGTTTTCAATGTTTTGTTGCTGTATCCTTTAATTAAATCAATTTACTCGTGTTGCCCTATGCTTTCGCCTATTTTCAAAAAGTTTTGCACTCAAAAGTTCTCTTCTCTGTTCATCCACTCAGCATCACAGGAATTCAGCAGCAAAATCGTTTGCTGCGTTTTTGACTCAACCGTTGCCCTCCTCTAAATAACAACTTACATATGTATACTGAATCGGCTTTTTATTTATTCCTGATCCAACTTTTTCTATTGCTACAGAAAAAATGTATGAGGCGGATAATTGCTTGTTGCGCTTGATTGGAAGATTTGGTTTGTATCGCTGAAAATATTGCAGTTTATAGCAATATGAACATATTTGTATGTAAAGAGCATAAGCGCGAAATAATGATCGTATGAAATCTAAAAAAAAAAATTTTTAATACTCCATTCGCTACGCTTCCACCTGTAAATCCCTATTGATTGCGCATCGTGCAAGAACATTTCAGAAGCATTAAACTTCAATGTAGATGTAAAACAACATAGTGCGGCATGTATCCTGTAAGTGGCGTAGTTTAGTCTAGTGGATTTTTTTTTTTTAATAGTTTGAATGCTTCAAATTCTTATTAAAAAAATGGTTATTTCGAACTTGAAACGCAAATTGGTTCGTTTCAACGATTTCCGATATCAAATATTTTCCCTCAGGCTCTCGCTTCAAGTATCTAAGAGCGAAAGGGGTTTTTAATATTTACATAGCCATTTGAAGTGTCCAAAAAATTTAAGACAAATGTTTTGCTGCTGGATTTGATGTATGTATATACATATGTAATATATATGTCTTTTGTCGTAAATATTGCGTTTTTGTTTTGCAGCACAGTGTAATCTTCGTTCACTTACCTCGCCTTTTTCTTCATCCGGCAAATAGTTAGAGGTGTAGAATTGTACGCCTGGTTGATTGCTGGATACTTCCATCCAACGACCAGTCTGCGGGTGAATGACTCTGAAAGGAAATATAAATGTATGTAACGGGTCATTTTTTTGAGGTTAGGATTTTCATGCATTAGTATTTGACAGATCACGTGGGATTTCAGACATGGTGTCAAAGAGAAAGATGCTCAGTATGCTTTGACATTTCATCATGAATAGACTTACTAACGAGCAACGCTTGCAAATCATTGAATTTTATTACCAAAATCAGTGTTCGGTTCGAAATGTGTTTCGCAAACCCAATTGCTGCGAACGGCGACGAATCGACATTTCACGGTCTTCAGCAACACTCTCAGAAACAGACGCAATATTCTCTTCTGTACGCACTGTACGCATTCGTGTGGTTGGTTTAATGTCCAATAAAGTAAACTGAGTGCGAAACTTGGTCACAATCGCATTAATTGTTTGCTCACTTGGTCGATTATGTAGACCATAAATCGGACGTAAAGCGAACCGAACACTGATTTTGGTAATAAAATTCAATGATTTGCAAGCGTTGCTCGTTAGTAAGTCTATTCATGATGAAATGTCAAAGCATACTGAGCATCTTTCTCTTTGACACCATGTCTGAAATCCCACGTGATCTGTCAAATACTAATGCATGAAAATCCTAACCTCAAAAAAATCACCCGTTAGTTTATTGAAAAAGTAGAATTTTATCGCAACAAATGGTTAATTAATAAATAGTAACATATAGTGCCTGTAGCAATAATCCTATTAATATTATATCGATGGCTGAGTGGAAGATCAACTAATCTCGGCAACCAGTTCGAAGACGCCCTATCTCAGAAAATTTTTCAAAAACGCCCTATTTCAGAAAACTTTTCAAAAACGCCCCACTTCAGAATTTGATTGAAAAACGCCCTATCTCAAAGCTCAGTTCAAAAACGCCCTATCTCAAATTAAAATTTTATGAAAATGTGCTTAGATAGCCCGTTGTTGAATCGACAGCTGAGATAAGGCGTTTTTGGAGCGAATTCTGAAACAGGGTGTTTTTGAACTGGCTGCCGAGATAGGTCGATCTTCAACTCAGCCATCGATTCGTAAATGTGAAGCACCTTATGACAAACACAAACCATTTATATCGAAATTTTGTAAAGCTTTAAGTTTACTCCCGATTTTTTTTTTAAGAACTTTGAAATTTCAAGGATATGATTACTTCAAAAAATGATTGCAAACAAATGGAAGGGAAAATTCTGTAGATTAAAAAAAGAAGGACGAATAGGTATTGAAAATTCCCTTCTAACTAACAAACTTAGGAGGACGAAATTCGAGAAGGTGTTCGTGAATATATTATTCCTTAACATATTTTTTTTGCAAAATATACATATATTGGAAGTTTTCAAGGATATTTAAAAATCAAGTTTTAAAAGGAAATTTTCAATTCTTATTCCCCGTTGTACACCAAAAAAAATAACCGTTTCTATATTACAACAAAATTTTTAAACTGTCTTAATGTTAACTTAGATGACTGAACACTTTTGAGAGGTATGTAATTCAGAAATTTAGAAACGTCTTCACTTACTTACCTAGCTACTGGCGTTACACCATTCGCATCCAAATCTATTCGTGACACACAAAAGTTATCATCGAAACCCAACTTGTCCGGCTGTAGTGCTTGTATACGTTTACCTAGGTTTTCCATACTGCGAAAATCATAAGGTGTACAAACTACGGGCTTAAAACTTCCTGTTGGTATTGACTCCTCATCCGTTTCGGTTATGTCTTCTGCGAAAATTGCGACATTGTGCTCATAGAGACCCTTCTTGCCAGAGTTCTGTGTGTGTTTTTGACATGATGCATAGTATTGAAATGAGATAAATAATGAAAACAAAAAAGAGGGAATTATATATGGACATTGCAAACTTATTTTAATTTTAAGTTTTATAGAGTAAAAATAAATTTTTGGTACATCTTAAGCAGCTTTTACATGAGGCAATTTTACTGCTTTCTAGAAAATTTAAACACAATTTACACAGGCGATTTGATTAATTGATAAATAAACATAAATCAGAAGGTTCTGTAATTCATTTCCGAGTGAATCTGGCTGGCGGGATAGCTCGATTTTCCACTCCATAAAATTTGCTTTCACGACCGCGTTTGAAATATGTTTTCTTTCTACAATAGCGATGCAATTTTCTATCAATGATGTAAATACATTGAGACCAACAAAAATATGGCTCGATATCTTTCGACGTCACATTAAAATGCATTAAATACATACATACGCTCAACAAAGAAATTCGCGACTCATGCCACTAGTCATTTAAATTATTGTTGACACCTTTATGCTAGAGGTACTCGGCCACTGTATGAACTTTCAATCTTTTACTCTTTGAACAAAGCTTCACACAACCAACACCTCTGCATATAAGAAAAATTTGAGTTTTCCCCACTTTCCCCCGCATTGCTATGCAACCACATTCCATTATGGTATACTCACATGTCCGGCCAAATTAAAATACGAATGATTTGTCATATTGACCACAGTTGTCATTGTTGTTTTTGCAGTCATATGGATGCGCAGCGCATTGTCTTCGGTGAGTGTGTAACGCACGGTGGCGTATACTTCACCTGGATAGCCCTCGTGACCGTCTAGAGAACGATGAGCGAAAGTAACACCATCCACATGAATTTCTTTCAGATCCCAGGGTACCTTACCGAAACCGATTTTACCACCATGCAAATGATTGTTGCCACGATTTTTCGTAACTTGAACTGGCTTATCATAAATAAAGAAACTGCCGTTGGCAATACGATTGCAAACACGTCCAATAGTGGCGCCAAAGTAAGGATTTTGCGGTTGTTCATATTCTAAGCAAATGAAAAGGAAGAAAATAAACAAAAATATGTATGTGTACATAAAAAAAATTAAAAAAAAAACCATACATGCCAGAATCGAGAAATTAAAAAAACTAAAATAAATCTTAAACCATACCACATATGGTGCGTTCCATACCAAAATGAAGGGGACTCACATTAAATATCTCGAGAATGGGGCGAAGAAAAAATTAGAAAAAAGAATAACACATGAAAATTCTCTATAAAAAGAAATATTTTCAAAATTTTTTTACGTACAAATTTTTTCATAAAAAATTAGTTTTTGAAAACATGCCATCTCAAAAAAAAAATTAAAAAAAAAATCATAATAATGCGTAATACCGCAATATTTAAGTATAATTTTATGAAAGCACTTTACAATAATTTGAGTTATGAACTTTTTTACGCCGAAGTTGAGTAAAATGAGTGCATTACAAATATACAAATTTCTTACACCGTTTAAAACTGTTTTCAAAGAAAATTAAAAAAAAAATTAACGCCAGTTTTGTAATGGCTTAAAACTTACGCTTTATTATACTAAAATTTAATGTGCTACTAAACTGCATACTCAAAAGAATTCTAAAAAAAATTAAAAAAAATTTTAAGTTTGTGACGCACTCTTTTTACTCAAATTCGGGTTAAAAAAAACATAACTCAAATTATTGCAGAGTGCACCCCATAATACTATACTTAAATATTGCGCAATACTGAGAGCTACCATTGTGATTTTTTTTTTTAATTTTTTTGAGATGGCATATTTTCAAAAACTATTTTTTTTTATGAAAAAATTTGTATGTAAAAAATTTTGAAGAAAAAATTTTTTTAAAATATTTCTTTTTATAAAGAATTTTAATGTGTGTATGTGTGATTTTTTTCAAATTTTTTCCTCACCCGGTTCTCGAGATATTTGGAAAGCTACTAATATTATGTTTATCCATAAACCTTAAAAATTTGAAACAAATCAAACACATGAAGTGTGAACCCGTCCATTTTGGTATGGAACGCCCCAGATACATAAGTAAAGGTGATAAATCAAGGCAAAGGTATTAAAAAAAATAACAAAATAAAAAAGCAAACTGTGTAGATTAAAACAACGTAAAATTCTCACCAGGAGTAAAAACCAGCGCAGGATGTGCATGTGCATCGTTTGACATAAAAATATGCCAAAAGCAAATGAAACTGTAAAAGCGGTAGAGGTTTATAAAAATATGTAGTTTTCCTTTATTTTTTAGAGTAAATGCTCGTGTCTCCTAAGCGCGTACTCAGCACGGATTTACTGCAGTTGCTATGGCATGCAACAGACCAACCGGAAGTGGTCATTGCATACCAAGTGCCACTATTATCATCCGCCATCCGACATCCGCTGTCACCTCGGACGCTACTGTCAACGCCATGCGCCGCGACGCGCCACTTGATGTCAGCGTTAGTGGCAGTTGAAACAGCCACTTGCTCCTAGCTAGCTAGTTGCCGGTTTGGGCAGCTAACAACTACGCACATATGAATGCATACATACATACATATTAGTATGTGTTGTCGTCAGCGGCATACGAGCTTATGAAGTAACCGAAAATGCAGTATTCGCTGGCTTATGGCTGGAACCAGTCCTATGCAGACTGCGCCATATCCGGTGCATGACCTCTCAACTCTCTGTACTCAGCCACCAGCCGCAGACGAGTCGCATTTTTGTTGAGGTCAGTCGGGGTGCATCGTTGTTGGTGCGCTTTGCTTTTGTTCTAGAGCCTGCGTTAGTATGTTTTATGGTTGCTGTTGTCATTGTTGTTTGCTCAATGGTTTTTTCCGGGCAAGAATTGCAATTTTTGCTTTTGTCTTCCGCTTCGCTGCCGCAACGCGTCAGTTCCGCTTAAGTGGGAAATTTGTTACCCTCGAAGTGTTACAAGTGGTAACACCAAATTGGCCCTCAGCAGCAAGTAAGTATGTACGTAAGCAAGTGGGCAGCAGCAGCAGCAGTAGAATCTAGCAGCAAGCAAAAACTAGCGTAGCACATATGGGAAAAATGTGCGAAAAAATGCTTCGAAAGACTGGATGGACAAACAGCTGCACACACACAGTTACGAGCACATACTTACACACACGTGGTGGTGGTGGCTGACCAATCCAGCTGGCCGGGTGCTCGTGTGTATCCGGCATTTCCGACTGCTTACTCCATCTACTCTTCTTTCTATTTTTTCCACTTGCCACTGGTTGGCTTAGCGCTGTCACTGTTTAAGTTGTTTGTGTCGCTCTTCGCTTGTCTTAGCAGTGTCAGTAAAATATTTGCCACGTTGTTAAAGGGAAATGGGTTCACGTGTGTACGTGGTGCGGTATAAAGTATGTTTGTGGCAGTTATGTGCACATATGCATGTACACTTACTAATACTGCCATCTATTTTTTATTCGCTTTGGTTTTTAGATTTTGCAAGCTGACATAGGTTTCAAGAATACTTTAAAACGTTTTTTATTGGTCTGTCAAAAATGGGGATACCCAAAAAAGAGGAGGAAAAATATAATTAAGTGTTGATTTTTCTATCCGTTAAGGAAAATGGAATTCAAATAAACATAAATATGTATTTTAAGTGCTAACCACAATGATTTTAGTTATCAGTCAATTACATATATTAAATCTGTTTAAGACAAAATTTAAGTTTAATTTCCCATTCAGAGTTTTAAATCTACATACATCGATAGTTATTTATAATTTTATATGGATAATCATCAAACATCCTCACTCTCCAGATCCTCCGGGGAGTCGTTGATGGCTACAGTCCAAAGACGGTTTGAGAAGACTCTACTTTGGACTAAAGTTCTTTTTTTTTACGTTAGATGATAGCTCCAGCTTAACTAAGGACTTGATGATTGCTCCTGAAAGGCATTATTGAACGTTTTCTCGATGTCCAGTAAGGCTTTGTTTATAAGGGCTCAGATTTAAGATCGTGTGAGGGGCGATATTGACCGACTTACGCTGTCCTGTTCCTAGTATGCTTATCGATGAGTCTGTACAGGATTTTAAAAAAACCAAGCGAGACTGATTGCTCTGAATTCCAAGGAAGAGTTGTAATACTTTCCGGCCTTCGGTAAAAGCGTCTTTCTGACTCTCCACGGGTTGGGGATGTACCCTCGCACAATGTTACTAGCGCAGATGGCAGCCAATCAGCGAAAAAATACCTCCCGAAGAAGCTATTAGAAAACGGATGTTTTTCCTGAGGCTAAGTTTCATGGGAGATACGTATGCATCGAGGAGAAGTTAAAGCAACTCCTCGCTACTAACGAGTATCCCAAGAGTGCAGAGCTCTTTGTAATTCGCAGAATGCTCACCAGGAATTCTTTAGCCTGCCTTGTTTCGGTTTTATATGTAAACTGCTTGTCCTGTTTCTTAAAGTTCCCAAGCCGTGGGTAGTTTGTTGATAACAACTGCCCAAGAAAATTTTGAGAAAGGGCTATTCAGAGTTGAGAGGAACCACTTTTTTTCGCAAAGAAACTTTTTAGAATACTTTCACATGCGTATTTATGTATCTACATTAGAACATACCAGAAAATAAAGTTCGCTTTACAGCCCAGATATTTATTTGCAAGTCAATTTCGAAGAAAATATTTGTTTTGGCAAAATATTGTATTTGATGTCGCCTTTTTATATTACATTTGTCATCATATCTTCGGAAATTACAGTTGCATCTTAGAGTATAATGAAGGTTCATGGGTCGAGAAGAAATTTTATTTGTTCCAAAGTTCGTTTGATTGTGTGCTTGATAAATAAATACATAAAATTGATCACAGGTCCCAGGTACAGGTAATGCTAACCCACTAGATCTCAGTCTATTAAAGCTCGCAAAAAATTATTAAACTTTTGTTAAAGAGGTATTTCCCCTGGAAGGCGATTTCGATTTTTGTTTTCGGCTTAACGTTAAATTTTGTAAAATCCAATCAGTCTTTGGATAGACACTTGCATACTTATAAAAATATATACATTAGCTTGGTCTTTACAAAACAAAAGCATCAACGAAATTTTCAAAATTAAAAAAAAAAAATATGTATTTGAAAATTTTTTTTTATCTCAAAAATTCGACAATATATTGACATTAACCAGCACAGCGATGTATGAATTTATACGAATGAGTTTCAGTAACGTCAAAGTTTTAAGATTTTAAGTTAAAATTTTGTAGAATTTTTGCTACCAAGAAAATTTTCTAAAATTCTAAATTTTTTCAAACGCCTAAATATTTGTGTAAATTTTGAAATTCTTAGGGATGTTTTTATTTTGTACGAAGAACCAAATCCAGGATTGCTCCATTCAAAATACATACATATCCGCATAAGTATTTGCGTTCATGCACTTACATACCTTCTAACAAGTCGAAACCAAGAACAACGTCATCCAATTTGCCACTGGCATCAGCGACTCTGAGCGAGTAGATAGTTGCACCATACGACAGGATCTTTATTATTTATAAATTCAAGACATGTTTTTTATGTTTTTTTTTTTGTATTATCCATTTAGTTGCAACCGGTGTCACCGCAATCAACGTTGGTGGTCAGATAAGAAAAAGATTGATTCCGTGAGAGAATGTCAATAATAAATATGTAACCCATAAAAGCCAAGTAGGTACAGCAGTTGGCATAATAGAAATGTTGCAAGGCCGAGTGCGATTTCCAGGATGACGATATGAAAATATAGATAAAGAGCAATAAAATCAGTAGAAGAAGCAAATATTATTAACTGTTAGTTATTATGGGGAAAAAATGTAAATTGCGCAAAAAAAAAATATAATAATAGTGTCAATGCAGATTTTTAAGAAAAAAATCATTCGGATGCTCTTGAAGAGCTTCAGACTGGCTAACGAAATGCACTTTTGAAGTATCTTTAAGGTATATGAATTTTTAGCAAAATGAACATCACTCAAACTTTTCACAGAAAACCTCTTATTTTTCAGATTTTCTACGTCTCCTCATTCTCTGCTGCCCTCTTCATTTGCTACACGGATGCCTTAACACACACAATCTGCGCATACATTGCAGATAAATGTTGAGTATTTTTGGTCGAGGCTTTTCAACGGGAGCTGACCATCTCAAGTGCTCACCAACCCCGTTTTGGCCCCGTTTTGGCACCCGTGGCCCGTTTTGGATTGCTTTTTTTCATTGCGCATTAGGGTGGTCCAAAATAAGTAGGGCCGGAATTTTAATGCTCTCACCACCTAGGATTGCTCTATGTCGAAAAAACAAACTCCTATTTTCTATTTTTAAATTTAAAAATATTTGGTATAGAATTCTTAAATATCAATGCTTTTCAATCGGAAAACTCTGGTTCTCTTCAGGAGACTTCGAGCAACACTACTTAATTATTTATTTAACCATTTTTTAATACTAAAGATGTTTTATTTTTCCCCCCATTGCATTTTCTGGCATTTTCTTGGGGATTTGGCGGACCTATAAATATAGTTACTATGAAAAAATGGTTGAATAAATAATTGGGTATTATTATTGGGAGTCTCCTAAAGAGAACAGAGTCTTCCGATCGAAAAATATTGATTTTCATGAGTTCTATACCATTTCCACGAAAAGTTGTTTTTTCCCCCATATAAAATACATGAAAAACTTTGAGCGCTTTGCGCAAAATCTAAATATTTCTTTATTTAAAAAAAAAACGGGGTATATTTCTTTCGGTATATAATGCTCCTAGAGGGTGGGAGCGTAAAAATTCCGAATTTACTTTTTCACGTGCATTTTTGGACCACCTTATTGCGCACACATTGCATTGATATGTTGTGTTTTTCCAAGTATTCGTTTTCCAACGTGAAGCCTGAAACCGCCGTGCATAAATAATATCGGGAATAAAAAAAAATACATACATATGTATATAGTGCATGCACACCTACTTCCAAGGATAATGTTTGCATTTTCAGCGGTTCCCTTGGGACTATTTAATTGTGGCGTATGTATGTACATTCTTTGTTATTTACACAGTGCGAAATGAGCGGTGAGTTAGAACATTCAATCTGAAATTCAGATTTAATCTACTGAATATACACAGAAACATTTCGAGACCAAAAAAAAGAACCTAATTCATGCTTCGACTGCCGTGGATGTAAGAATCAATATTTATTTCTTTCCCCGTATTAAAAAAAAAAGGTATCAATTTAATTGAAACTGAAAATTTTTTTGAGTGTTATTATATCCTTGAAGTTGACTATACATATAGGTTGAACACCTTGCCGCGATGCGAGGTCTTAAGTACGACATAAAGATAAACATAATATATATCGCCAACCCTAGCTGTTCGAAAACCAGGAGGCAACGGAGGAGCTAACCTTTTGAAAAAAAGCTTCGGGTTGGACAAGGTGTAAGACGGCCATGCGGTCTCGAACGGAGCGCTCCGGCTACCGGACGACCTGCGGTTCTATCTATCCCCTTTCTCCGATACCCCTAGCGACCGAAATTATGAGTGATCATTGCAGAAAAAGAATAACCAGAAGTTTCGAGCAGGGTAGTGGTCAGACCGCCATTGATAGGGGGTTTCAGCGACGAGTGACGCAGGTAGCAGTGGGAGAGCGGAGGTCTGGACAGACCGGTCGTAAATCGTTTAATGGCTGCAACTGAGGAGACGACTCCGTCTAGAGCAACCAAATTCCGAAAAATCCAAATCCCGTTAAGGGCGGGGCACCTACTTTAACGCTAAGCCGAGAGTCTGCTACAAATAAACCCGACAGCTGTGTGGTAGAATCTGAACAAAAATGTGGTGGACTCACCATCCCTTTGTCGAATTTAAAGTCATCTTTGGCAGCACTCTTTCTTTTTTGCCTATACGCCGCGTTTTATAAACTCCTTGAGCCCAGGAAACTAATACGCCTGTACAAATTGGTTCGGAGCACCACCACCTACTCCACCAGAGTTAGTAAGGACTTCATCGAGCAGTTCGATACCAAGTTTTCAGGAAAAGTTACTCCCTATCATGCGACTTCCTTAATCTCTTTCATAAGAAGTTGATAAGATCTACGGAACTAATCGCTCAGGTATAATTTTCTATGACAGCGGACAATCACAAACTGGCTTATGCCCAGAATATTATGAGTCTCATCAACCGCACCCTTTGCCCTTTGCATAGCATTTTTTGACTGTGTAAATAAGTTTCGTGTCACGTATTGTACCCAGAATATCTGCTACCATACTCTATATCATCCACCAATACTTTTCGTTCCTTTACTTAATTTGGGCTGCAACTCCTTGACCATGTTTTCCCAACAAGTCATTATCAAAAGCCACTGAACTTGGCTTACACACAGGATGCGATAATTGAGCGTGCAATCCCTTGTTGTTGATATATTTTTTAATATTGATTTCACTGTTATTTTTGGCCTCATCTTATCTACCCTTCGTCCATTTCAATGCTACGCGTCACGCAAAGTTAAAGCGGGCGTATTGCCTCATTCGATTAACCTAACTAATAGTGTCAATATCATTTTCGGGTTCTAATCTCGCCTCATAAACACCGAAAAAAACACACACACACGTGTACAATTCGCAACCCTAAACAACAGCCAATTCACAATCGCATTTAACTTTGTCACTTCTTGGAAAACTCTTTTTATACATCTCCCTTAACACGCCTCAATTGTCAGCGTTGATATTAAAAGTTCATTGAACCCTGATACATTAATGGTATTGCTGTTGCTAGCAGCCATTGTCTCGACCATGTGGTTAGAATGGTTTCCTTGGCATTTTATTTTTATGGCCAGCATATGCAGTGACCTTGAAGAGGAGAAGAGTGCGCAAGAGTTGGGATAGGGAAAGGGTTTTTAATGGCTTCTTCTTCATCTCTTTAGTTTCTTGTTTAGCCATTGAAAGCTATGTATAATAAAGTTGCCTTAGTATGGGAATCCTGAAAATGGCCTATGCGTAGTGCGGAAATGGTATTCTGTGTTTATGTCTCTTACAACTACTTCGGCAAAAGGCAGTTAAAGGCGGTCGGTCGTCAGTTTTATGATACTACCAAATTTGCTTACATGTTCCTTTTATTCAATCGAGAAATAAATGGCTTGTATGCAGTGCATTATACATAAGCATGTGCATTAGGGTGGTCCTTAAAAATATTAACATTTAAATTTTGTATAGGGCACCCGTTTATTTTGTTCCACGTTTACAATTTTGATTTTTGAATGAAAATTTCAAAAGTAAAAAAAAGGTATTAGCGGTCGTTACCAGAGATTAAAAAAGGTCAAATTTTTTTAAACCGCAAAATTTCGACAAAGTAGGGTCTTTGACCAGCCCGAATTCTTAAATACTCTAAGTTATATTTAGCTGAGTAAAGTAAATTTTTTCGAACTTTCGCATTTGGAAAAAAATCAAGTTTGGTTTTAATTTGAAAATCTTCGTAAATGTCTATATTTCGTACGTAGAAAAAAGGTGTAGATGCAGATATTTTAAGAACCACCCTAATTTTGTGTATTTTTTAATTTTTTTGGGTTGGTTTTTAAGCTAAGTATGATTGACAGCTTGGGTTGGATTTGGACCGTTGTGTTGGATAAAAGTACAACAGCTGTTGATTTGCAAAGCGATTGAAATGTGGGATTGTTTAAATACTATATTTTGCACTTACATATATAACATACTATTAAATAAGCAGTCTCAGACAGTAAGTGCCGTTTCATTTTCGAGAAATCAAATCTATTATAGTAAAAGACCTTAACATATTTCAATTCGTATTCCCTTCTCTTTTGTAGGGACAATTTAAATTTTTTTAAATCTGATTTAGGCACTCCGCACATTAAGCTCCTAATCATAGTAGTGTAATCGTTTCGGCATACTAAAGTATAAAGCTTTTATGCCGAACCCATGTATTTCAATGAAGCTCTGTAGATTACGATTCAAAATCATGTTTGCGCCTAATCATAAAAGCTTCATGAATCGAAGCGCCCAACATTGTAAGGCGCTTGCAGTTTTGAAATCGTCATTTGTTTACTTTTTTGTGTTGGAAAGAAAATTTATTTGTCAATTCAATAGAAAATAATTGGAAATGATTGATTTCGTGCTAAAATTCGTGCAAATTGCTTTAAACCACAAGCGTTTATGCAATATTTCGGAGCGGAATAATTTGCGGAAGTGCGTGTTGCGAAAGAACGACCAAAAAATTTGTTATGTGTAGAAAGTGTTTATTAGCTGGTGACTTATGCAGGGCGTGCAAGTGTGCAGAAGTCGAGTCGTCATGCATTCGTTTCGGTATGATGAAACGATTACTCTACTTTGATTAGGCGCGTAATGTGCCGAGTGCCTTAATCACTGTGCCACGCTGCAATCAGGGATAACGCGAGTTATGTGGAATCTAGAAAGGGAGCTGAAGAGGGAAAGGAGACGTATTTTCCGTAATACTTAAAAAGTGAGAGGCCTAAATGCGTGACTGCGACGAACCTGAAATGCTGGCTGAATGACAGCACTAAAACCAGCGAAGGTGATAAACCAGAGACCCCAGTCGAACATAACGGAGTACCACCGCCCGACTCTGACAGGGTACTGGTAGCAATTTCGCTGCTGAAAAGCTGCTGGAGTTGACGATTTGCGAGATGTGCTATTCAAGAATGCCACGAATCTTGAAAAATACTCGCGAGAGAAGAAACGAAAGTCACCCTCTCTTTTTCGATTTTAAAGCCGTGAAAGCTGTGGAACTAATAAAGCTTTGTAAAATTACTTTGCGCAACACCAAATTGTCAAAATTGGAAAGGTCATTCTGATTCGTTTTGTGCTGAATAAGATTTCATATAAGGCGACTCTGTATCGTTAAATTGATATCAGGAAAAATTAGTTTTGCTAATAAGATTGAATAATAATAATATTGTTTTTTTAAATATAAGGGAAATAAGTAGTTTCTTAGGAAACGATCTTTAGGGATTTTTTTTTAATTTGTTAAAAAAAATATTATTTAAGAAAATTATAAAATAACAAAAGTTATGCAAAAAAACTAATTTGTTTACAAAAAAATATTTCTTAAAAAAATAAAGAAATAGTTTTCGAAAAAATAATTTTATAGGAAAAATTTATAAAATTATCGAAAATTAGAAAAAAAATAGTTTTTAGCTAAAATTATTGTTAATTTTTAGAAAACAATTATTTTTTAAATTACAAATTTTTGTGTTTAGCTCGCGATGAATAACGTTTTTCAATGCTCAACTCAGTGCAATGTAGAATTAAAATATGGGTATCATACAAAAGAGCAAATTGTGTTGAATTAAAAATTTTAAATTTTTTGGCGCATAAGGACGAGTAGGTACAGAAAAATTCCTTTTAAAATATTTTCCTTGACTATCATTAAATGTACTTTAAAATGATTTCATTTTGAGGACTTATATACGCACCACCACATCCTCGAAATTCGTCCTTTTAATTTTATTAGCTTAAAAAATAAAAGTTATTAAAAGGACATTTTCAGTACCTTCTATAGTGCATTGCAGTGAAATTATAAAAAAAAATTAATAATTTGAAAGTCGTGATAAAATATGTAATCCTGTTGTCAAAGTGAAAAACTAAAACAGCAGAACAAAATCGTTCCGGAAAAATTATCAGCAACAGCATATATTCGTCTAATTCGACTGATTCGGGGGACTAAGAAATTAGTTAGAAAAGAGCATGTGACTAACGCTAATTTTGATGTAATTTTTTAAAAAAATGGGCAGTGGAGATAAAAAATTGCAACCCCTTAAACGCGAAGGAGTTTCAAAATAAACATGAGCGATTTAAAAAAAAACAATTTTAATTGTCGTCCTATGAGCGCCTTTACAGTGCTTTTTTTTTTATTGATTCTTCTGCATGAAATATCAGCGTGGTGAGATGTTATGCATTCTCGAAATTCGACGGTGACTCAAACGTCACTGTAAGCTTATAAGGGCACAGAAGAACATTTGAAAAAAAGTTTTCACGACTCCAAGCTGATATTGCTGACCCGCCTGCATACTGCGAATGTCCAGGTTCTAGGCAACTATTTTATCTACTTGATAATATCGTAAATATATGAGACTTCATTGCTGAAACTGTAAGCAATGAGATGGGAATTAAATCAGCTCCAATTTTACACTTATTCGATAAGTTGCGGCTAATTAATGCCCAATATCAGCTTTGAGGACTAGTTCGGGTGGAGTCTATTGGCCTCTACTCGTACTAGCCGCACAGTTTTTTTTGCTAATGTTTCCACATTTGCCAATTATCGCCATGCGTAAATAACTAGGAAACAAAAAAGTTTCTCTGTGTGTACTTATGTACATATGTCCCAATTTGGTGTAGTCAACCAAAGCTGACAAGGTCAAGGTCAAATCAAATACGGTATCTGCCACATTCTGCCGTTTGTGCACTTATCGTATCTACGAAGTAATTTTCCAAGCAAAATTGTAGAATCAACAAGTGGTACGATAGCAAAATTGAAACAAAACACTTGAACAATTCGACAACAGCCACTAAATACTCACCTGCACATACATTTGGGTCTGATCATTGACCAGAGTGAAGCGATATATGTGAGCCACCTCTTTTGTTATTGGATCAGTGGTACTGCCAATAATATCCTGAGATACGTGAATCATTTTCGATTATAGAAAGAAAACTTGTTTGCACTTAAAGTCGATATATTTTTAGCACTAAAGAAAATTGCAAAAATAATTAAGCGAATCTAAAAAATTTAGCCGGTTAACGGTTTATCCAAGTTACAGCGCAGCGACGCGAATGAGTGAGTGCACACAAGAAATATTGCATCCAATCTGCTATTTGCTTGCAGTGACAGCTGTGTACGCGGGACCACGACTCTCGCAAATGAAACCTCAGTGTGAAGATTGCGAGCGGATCTACATATGTAGCTGTTTATATTAAATTTAGAGAGAAACTTGTTTTGCACTTTTGTTTTACTCATTTTTTAAGCACTCAGAAAGAGGCAATTGACAGATAGCGAAGCTAATAAATTTTATTTTTTTTTTGTTTTTTGCAACAATTTCTTTGCTTATTTGTGAATGTACGCAGAGTCACACATAAATACTTGTAATAAGTAAATATATAAGAACGTACGTTGGAAACATAAATAAAAACTTAAGAAGCACCCTGTCGGAAAAACCTACGTAAAAATGATTGCAGCTGCAAAATCTGGATCTTTATCGCCACTACTTATTTCAGATGAGGGTACATCGCACTGGTTCGCAAAAAGAGGGATATATTGCGAAGCTAAGCGAAGTATTTTTCGTAAAAATCGAAGATGTCTTACTCAAAAGCATGGCTGTTAAAAGGAAAAGTGTGGCTAAGTAGAAATGCAGCTAAAAGTGTAAATTTGGTCCAAAATCCATTTCATGATTCATGAATCAGTATTTTGGCAAAATTGTGCAAGTAAGTTGAAAATCCACCTAAGCGAATGGGCAGCTAAACGGAATATACTGTAATACCATTTCATGTTCATGAAAGGTATAAAAAACACAGTTAAATGCAGTGAATGGAATCGTGGAGAAAAAATACCAAAATTAAGGGAAAATCTGTCAAACTTAGACCTTTGCATTGTTTTATTTTGTCTTGAATCAAAGGTGTTTTGAGCTCTCAAAAGGTAAGATAATAATTTACATAAACCTTCTCATAGCGACATATTGCATACAAAAAAGTTCTAGATCTCATTATTCATATAGGTGGTGCCAAATTTTCTTGCAAGGTACATTCAAGTAGCGCTATGAGGCTTATCAGTGTACGTTGGCACAAAAAAGTGGCTACGTTAATTGGTGAGAGAATAAATAGAGAAGAATTATTTAGCGAAGCAAAGCGAGCGATTAAGAGAGCACTTAAAAACTATAAACAAATTGATTTTTATATACCTATGTACATAAATACGAGTATTTCCACTTTGATTTTGTTGATAGAAATTTAAGAGAGAAGCCAAAAAGGTAATTGTGTAAATGAGAGGGAGAGTGTACTTGAGGCTGATTTGTTAAACTCATGGTAAAATTAGTTGTTTTTATAAATTTCTATAGCAGTTATGCGAAATGTCAGTACAATGCTACTTCTATGCTGAGTATATATGTATGTATGCACATTAGGGTGGTCCAAAAGGAAGTAAAGTCGGAATTTCAATGCCCTCACCAACTAGGATTATTCCATATCGAAAAAAATTATGCCCTTGTCTTTTTATTTTGAAATCAAAAATATATTCAGAGGTCGCTCAAAGCGCTCAGAGTTTTGTATGTATTTTATATGGGGGAAAACCAGTTTTTGTAGATGTGGTAAAGAATTCTCGAAAATCAATATTTTTCTATCTGAAAACTCTGGTTCTCTTCAAAAGACTTCCAATAGCAAACTCAATTGTTTATTTATTTAATCACTTTTTAATGCTAAAGATTTTTTAGTTATTGCTCCAAGGCATTTTCTGGCATTTTTTGGGGGTTTTGGCGGGCCTATAAAATATAGGTGCTATAAAAAAATGGTTAAATAAAAAATTGAGTATGACTACTGGGAATCTCTTGAAAATAACTAGAGTTTTCTGATCGAAAATTATTGATTACAAAAAATTCTATACCATTTCTACGAAAAGTGTTCTTTTCGTATATAAAATACATGAAAAGCTTTGAGCGCTTTTTTTTGAGCGACCTCTAAATATCTCTTTGATTTTAAAATAAAAAATAGGGGTATAATTCTGTCGGTATATAACAATCCAAGAGGGTGAGAGCATAAAAATTCCGACTTTACTTTTTCGCATGTATTTTTGGACCAACCTAATATGCACATTGCCGTGCGCTGTGTATGTATGTATGATTGTATATAAATATGCATGTGCCAATACAAATGTATATATAACAAGTAAGAAAGTCTAAGTTCGGGCGGAGCCGAACAT